TTTGTGCTAGTTTTTGGTTCCATAGAATTTTTTCTAGTTGAATTTTTTTTAATGAGATATATTATTGAATATTCAACATTCAATGAAGATTGCTGTGAATAAACAGCATTTTATGTCAATGTCCACCTTTTTTCTCACTAAATATCCCTATATCATAGTCATTAGATAATTTTATTCGAAACATATTTTGTTACTAAATGTGAGTGTAGATTTTTGTTTTCTTATCTTGTCCAAAAAGTTGTTTTTACTAATATCTCAAAAAAATTATACTCATGAAGTAATCATAATGAAAACACGAATAATAAAGCCCTGTCATACAACCTATGCTGAAATAATAACCTAAACACACACAGTGGAGTAGACGAGTAGTTGTCCATCTCAGTACATACAATTATACAAACTTTATTTTCAGCATATTGCACCTCAATGCAAAATTGGTCAACAGTCCACGTTTTCCACAATAAACAACTAGGAGAATGATAGTCAAAGTTCTAAAACATTGAAATAGTCACACTTAAGTTCTTAACAAAAATTAAAAAATAAATTTAAAATATCAATTCAAATAATTATAAATTTAGGAGTTTTAATTATAAATAATTATTTAAATATTAAATATAACTCTTAGATTATAAGATATTTTTTGTAACTTTTTAAATTGATATTTACAACTTATTTTATAAAAAAGATTATTAAAAATTTAACTATCATTAATTTATTCTTTTAAAATCTAACTGTCATGCTTCCTAAACGACCTCTGTCACTTAAACACATGTCTGTATTATGTTTATGTAACTAATTTCACTTAAAGGTGGCACTGAGTCCGTAAAGTCTTCCTCACAAGCAGCAAGCATTCATTTCGTGGACATGCAAACATGCATTTATTCCACAGTTTTCAGCCCATTTAAATTTCAGTTGAATATAACTGGTTATAAAAATAATAAAAATAATTAATTAATAGTTAATTTTAATCATAATTAATTATATTATAATGATCTGTTTTGATATTATTTCTTAAAATTAATTTCAACGGAATTAAAAATATTTAAATAATTTATTTAAAATTAATTTTAACTATATAAATTATCATAAATGATATTTTTTTTGAAATCAAATTATTAATAAATTTGTATATAATATTATTAAAATTTTTAAATTTTATTTAAGAAGTGAAATATATTATTTAAATTCCATATCTAATTAATTATAAAAATTTAAATTTTACTAAATTAACAGTTTTAATTTATGTAAATAAATAATTCAATATGTATTAGTTCAAATAAATTTAATTAAAGAGAAAGATTTAATTTCTAAATATTAAACATCAATTTTATAATAACTAATGAAGATGATAATATACAAGTTGATTTCCAATGATATTACAAATATAAGCCATATCTGATGAAGATATTAAGCATTGCTTAAAAATTTTGGCAACATAAAAAATGTAATAATGTAACAAATGATGCAAAATTTCTTTCTTTCTCTAGACTTTTGCAACAATCTTTATAATGACCCTCAATTTAAAATTAAATTAAATTAATTTTTCTCTACCAATTAATATTTTATTTAAATTAATTTTATTACAAGTGCTAAATAGAGGGTGATGGTTGACAGAAACTTATACTAATAATTTTTTTAAGGGTCTAAAATTTAAATTTCACTAAAAAAATTGAAAAACAGAGAGTTTAATTTTATTTTTATTAAATTTTGTACTTTTTTTTTGGACCTTTCTTATAATATTTCCACATGCTTTTGTAATTCCGATGCTGAAGCGAACTCTCGTAGCTTAGGGAAAAAATCGATTTTGTGGAAAAAATTAATTTTTTTTTGGGATAAATTGGTGTTTGGGTAATTGATTGAAAAATCAATTTTTTAAATCAAAAAATCGGTGAAAATACTTATCCAAACTCATACTTCCTTACAAGCAGTAAGCATTCGTTTTGTGGGCCTGTTTTATAATTAATTATAAAAATAATTGATTAAGTAATTAATTTTAATTATAATTAATTATGTAATAACACAATCTGTTTAGATACTATTTTTTTAAAAAATTAATTTTAATAAAATTAAATATGTTTGAATAATTTATTTAGAATCAATTTTAATTGTATAAATTATCATAAAGGAATTGCTTTGTGAAATTAAATTATTGATAAATTTATATATAATCTTATTAAAATTTTTAAATTTTATTTTAGAAGTAAAATATATTATTTAAATTACATATCAAATTAATTATAAAAATTTAAATTATACTAATATTAACAATTTTAATTTATGTAAATAAATTAGTCAATATATCTTAGTTCAAATAAATTTAATAAAAGAGAAAGATTTAATTCTTAGATACTAAATACCAATTTTACAATAACTAATGAAGATAATAATATAATTTAATCTTTAATGACATCACAAATATGAACCATATCTTACGAAAATGTTAAGTACTGTCTAAAAATTTTCACAATATAAAAAATGTAACAATGTAAGAAATGACACAAAATTTCTCTCTCTCTCTCTCTGGACCTTGTCAACAATCTTTATAATCGTCTTAAATTTTAAGTTAAATTAAATTAATTTTCTTTTATCAATTAATATTTTATTTGAATTAGTTTTATAGTAAGTGCTAAGTAAAAGGTATTGGTCAATAGGAACTTATATTAATAACTTTTTTGAAAATTCAAAGTTTAAATTTTATTAAGAAAAAAATAGAAAAGAGTAGAAAATTTAGTTTTATTTTTATTACATTTTGTGTCTTTTTTATAATTTTTTCTTGAGCCAATCTTTGTAATTTTTTCACATGCTTTTTGATCAGCTTTTTAATAAGCTTTTCCTTCTCTTTCGAAAGCAGAAGCTGTGCGAGGGAGCTTATAATTAAAAAAATCGATTTTCCCCCTAACAATCGATTACCTGTTTAACTGATGTTCAGACATTTTGCAGAAAATTGATTTTTTAACTGAAAAAACCGATTATTTTACTTATTCAAACACGCACTTTAAGGAAAAAAAAGTAATTTTTTTTGGGGGAAAAATGACTCATAAGATTATGAAAGGTACTTATGATCAAATAAAAGTCCAGTCATTGCTCGTGAATCACGGGGGACTTTTTTTTATTAAAAAAAAAAGAGCATTTCTGTAAGTATATATGTACCAAATTATTTACAAAAACCATGAAACTCCACTATACTTTTATAATTTCAAGAGAGTTTTTAGTATTTTATGCTTGTGTGAGACTTGTGAATGATTTTTTTTTTGAAAAAATACATCCAAATCTTATATAAAAAAATTAATTATTATAAAATTCATTGATAACTGAACTAAAAATCATTGATAACTGACAACGTTCATTTGTTAATAGCCTTACTTCAATTATTCATGAACCTTGTAATAATTAATTTTTTTATATATGACTTCAATATAATTTTCTCATTTTCATTTAGGAAATTAGTTATTTATCTATATATACCAATAATGTAAAATATTTTTTAGAGTCAAACCGCCACTGTCTTGTTAGTGATATTGGACCCCGACTAATTGAGATTAAGCTTGAATATAAATTGAGGCTCAAATCCAAAATCACTGGTTAAACTATTACAAGTTCTTATTAATTGAGCTGCATACACGCTGATCATAAATATAAAATATCCAGTTAAGAAATTTTATTAAAAAATTGTAGTTATTTATATAAAAAAAAAACGAAGGTATTGATTGTGCATTTGAATTGGCCCCAGTTTTCTTTTGAAGTATTGATCAAGTGAAAGCTGACTCTTACTCCTCATCTGTCCACATCTAGTCTTATTTACAATTTACAACAGGTTAATTAATGTAAAGCCAAGTAAGGCACGCAATTTCTTCGTCAACGGTACGTGAGTTCTTCCACAGCATTTGAGAAAAAATATGTTTCTTTGTGCCCATAAATCAATTCTCTTGCATCACCCAGAAAGAATTTTCTGGTTTGTTTTCCACTTGTCAATGCAGAATTGGTCATCCAATCCACGTTTTCCACAATAAATAACCATAGCGTCACTTAAACACATATATTACATTTATCTATTTTGACTACTGTTACACCTATCAATACTCTAAAATTATATATGTATATATATGAGATCAATAAGAAATCACATTACGCTATATAATTATAAACCGAGTTATATACTCCCTTTAAATCTTTAATCCTTATTAAAGGGAATTTTTTTTATAAAATAGATAGTTCTTGTTATATAAATTACTTGATGGGTATTAATTAAGTTTTTTCAATATTATTTCTATTTAAAATCATTAATTATAAGAGAGAATATAATGTAAATATGAATTTTTTTATTTAATTATAAGTAAAGTAGAAATTTATTCCATATTTAAATAAAATTAATAATTTAACCACATTTTCTTAATCCTGGTAATGTGATTAGAAGTTACCTTAATTATAATAGGAACCAGAGCGGCATATATTTAGGGAGAATTACTTGTAGGTCTAATAAAAAAAAAACAAATTGCTTATAAGTAGAGATTTTTGATTCGTAAATGGGCTGATAAAATAATTAATTTTCTTATTTGACAGATGATTGCAATTATCTCCTCTGTCTGACGTCAAACTAGCCATGACCCTCTATATTTTGCTTATAAAAGCTATACAATTCGGCCACTAGCACTACATCGTCTCATATTTTTGTCTTGAGAAAGTGAATATGGGGCTGCGGCTTCTCTTTCTCATGAATCTTTTATCTGCAGCCATGGCAGCAACTGAAGTTCAATCCGTTGCAGGCTTTCCTGACAAATGCGGAGATGAGGACATTCCATATCCATTTGGTGTGGGGCTACAACCTGGTACTTTTCATAACTGTTTCTTGGATCAGTCATTCAATCTCACTTGTGACAATTCCACATCCACTTTATTCTCCGGGAAAATACCAGTTTCTAACATATCCCTCCAACAAAGTCAAATGGAAATATCCATCTTTGTCTCCAAGATTTGTCATAATCAATCAGGAATAAGTCTTGGCCCATATAATTACCATGTTTACGTCGATACCTTCACCATTTCCAGCACCCAAAACAAGTTTATAACTGTTGGTTGCGACGCATTGGGTGTAATAAAGTTCCAGGACACTTTGCGGGACAACTTCACCTATTACAGTGGTTGCGTTGCATTGTGTGACACACCACCGAAAGTGATGAATGATAACACTTGTTCAGGGACAGCGTGTTGCCAGGTGGACATTCCTGTGGGAATGAATAATGTTAGTTTTGGAGCATCTAGCGTTTACAATCATACCAAAGTGTTGGCCTTCAACAACTGTAGTTATGCTTTTGTAGCCAGACACGATTGGTTTGATTCTCTGTTGATTATCTGCACTACTTTCCCCATGACATGGTCCCGCTCGTCCTAGATTGGACTGTGTCAAATGTTACTTGTCAAACTTCTTTTACTAATACCACAGACTATGCCTGCAAGTCCAACACATACTGTGTGGATTCTAGTTATGGAGTTGGATACATCTGCAAATGTAAACCGGGCTTTGAGGGAAATCCATATCATCCAGATGGATGTCACGGTAAGTATTCTATAGTTTCATTTGCTTGATTTCTTTTTTAGACAATTACTGTTGTAAGTCCTCAGTTCCCCTAATACTCTTTTCTTGATTTTAGATGTTGATGAGTGTAGCAAATCCAATAACTGCAGTATGCCAGAGCAATGTCTCAATTTCGATGGTACTTACCGATGTTTTTGTCCATCTGGATATAAAGGTGACGGCTATATTAATGGAACAGGATGCACTTTGGAAACACATCAATCTACTAAACGTTTGCTTGTTCTTACAACTGCATTAGGTGAGAATATGAAGGACTCTTGCTGTAGTGTGTCTTGTTTTCCAAGAATCACATCCAAGGATCTCCCAAGAGAATTATTTGCAGACAAGGACTAATATGGATTTGTTTATTGTTAAGATGATGAATTGTTATTAATCTTTGTTTGTAAATAATTCTATTGGAGGTTCTTGGATGAAATTCATCTCCCTTTTTTATATTATATTTTTTTGGAATCTGTTTTAAAAATAAAAGTTAATTTTCACCATTGAAACAATTTATTTAAAGCACGGTTCATATATTTAAAGGATGTTTCATTTTGGATATTGAGTTGGAGGAGGTAATTAGAAATAAACAGATTATTATATAATTAAATATGAACTCCTTTGGTCATTTATAGGGCAGAAATGTCATATTTATAGAGCACTTCACTATTTACTATATTTATCTTTATCTTTCAGCCTTTATTAAATGTTAGGATAAATTATAAAAAATAATTACTTTTTTCTTTATTAGGGAGTAGATGTGAAAACTTATTTAACTTTATAACAGAGTTAATAAGATTTAAGATTTTCCTTTACTTTAGTAAAATATATTAGAAGTAATTTATAAATAGAGTTAAAGTGAGTATTGTTTAAGTCAAAAATTCAAAACCTTTTTCTTATTGAAAATCATATATTTGGACCATATTTGCTTGCAGGCATGAGTGTAGCCTTGTTAGTTGTCTTCACCTTGGTCTCCACATTATGTTGGGCACACAAGCAAAGAACTTTGAAACAACTTAGGCAAAGAAATTTTGAGCAAAATGGTGGAAACATATTATTGCAACAACTTTCTGAACAACAAGGTTACACAGATAGAATCAAAATATTTTCAGAAGTTGAGCTTCAGAATGCAATAGGCAACTTTGATGAATGTCAAATTCTTGGTCGTGGGGGACAAGGCACGGTTTATGATGGTATCTTAACAAACAACACACATGTTGCTATTAAGAAGTCTAGAATAGGAGGAGACCCTAGACAAATTAAGGATTTTATTAATGAAGTCTTTGTTCTTTCTCAAATCAATCATCGGAATGTGGTCGAACTTTTAGGATGTTGTCTAGAAACTGAAGTCCCTTTATTAGTATATGAGTTTATTGACAATGGCACTCTCCTTGATCACATTGATCCTTTGAAGAATGAGTCTTCTATTTCATGGGAGACCCGATTAACCATAGCTGCGGAGACTGCTGAAGCTATTTCATATTTACACTCTTCTGCTTCCATTCCCATTATTCATAGGGATATTAAATCTACCAACATACTCCTAGATCACAATCTCAGAGCAAAGGTGTCTGACTTTGGAGTTTCAAGACTTGTTCCTCTTGATGAAACTCATGTTACCACTGTAGTGCAAGGGACTCTGGGATATCTGGATCCAGAGTATCTTCACACTGGTCAATTCAATGAGAAGAGTGATGTTTATAGTTTTGGAGTTGTGCTTATAGAGCTACTCACAGGGAAAAAAGTAGTTCAATTTAGTAGGCCAGAGCAAAAAAATTGGCGATGTATTTTGTGTCTTCAGTGAAACAAGATCGCCTGTGGGAAATTCTCGACAAACAAGTGTTAGATCAAAAGAACATTGATCAGCTGAAGGAAGTAGCCTTACTAGCAAGGAGGTGTGTGAAAGTAAAAGGAGAGGAGAGGCCCCCTATGAAGGAAGAAGCAAAAGAGCTAGAAGGTCTGATTGCAATGGAAAAGCATCCTTGGGTGAAAGGTGAAGATCTTATGTCAAAAGAAAGCGAGTACTTACTTGGTCATGTACCTGATGAATATAGATCATTTGATGCTGGTACTTCAGCTTCCTATGATAGCATATTAAAGGAGATTGCATCAGAGATTGCAGATGGAAGGTGATCATTTGGTGTTTTATATGGGGTGTGTTTCATAATGTTATTTTTATTTTTATCATGTTATTTTATGTTGGATAACTCTTTTTGATGGATGCGATCATGAATATGTGTCTATTGAGTTGGCTTTGGCAAGACTGTAAATCATGGATTTCCAAGCATTTTAAGCTTTTCTTTTCACTGTTGTAAAATAGATGGATTGTCAACAAATAAAATATGTGTATTGGTTTGGTTTGCTTATCAAGTATTGTTTAAAGGATTGGTCATTTTGGTTTTATCATAAATTGTTTTTGTTTACTGATATGTCATTTTTACATGAAGTTTAATGTCATTGTGCACCGCGCGAGATTGAAGTGGTATCATCAGATTCAACGGATCTAATCTAAGAGAAAGGAGGACAAATACCTAAATATATAAATAGATCAACTAAGGCCAAGCATGTTTGTGTTTTCATTAAATTGTTACCCTAAATATTTTATATATATATATATATATATATCTTTTGTACTTACATCATTATTCTCAGCTGCCTCTGATAACCTATCAGTCTTTGGATTCTCATAATTGATTGATGACTGTACATTTTTGGATCTCGATTCCTTTTGGGGTAGCGTAAAAGATAAGAGCTAGTGACAATGGTGGTAGCCTCTTCCATCGATCTGGACCTTTCAATAATATTGACATTTGTTAAGTGATATATGTAACTTATTTAATCCTGTAAAGCAGTCTGGGCTCTTCTGATCGGTACTTGCAAAATGTATTAGCGCATTTCATGGGATCGATTAATTGGAAGACGAGAAAATTAAAAGAAGAGTTTTTACAGGTATATATAAAAGATTATTGGGTCGATGACAAAAAGGAATAAGCATAAGAGATTGAAGTTGCAGAAGGAATATTCAAAAGCCACCACGATCGTTTAAAAAGTTGCTTCCTTCTCGAGTTTTTCCTTCTACGAAAAGTCTAATTGATTTGGCTTCATTTTTTAGCCATTTTAATACTTTTTGAGGAATTAACATTCATCGTGGGCAATACTAAATCAATCAACTTTATTAATAGCGCAAATTATGTTTATTTTTAGTCACGACAAATCATGTTGTCAAAAGTTTTTTTTTTTAAGAAAAAGAAATAAAAGAGCCATATCTTACGACATCATTTCATCTCGTGTGTGCCTCCTCAAGCCATGTTTCCAGCCATGTGTGTGCATCTTTGGCACATTGTCATGTCACATATTCATTACAAAATATACCAAAATGAAAATGTGAGCCTTTGATTTTGACTTCTCAAGCTTTAAATTTCCTTCTTTGTGAGTTGAATTGAAATATACCTACAATTATTAGATGTGAAATTAAAATTATGCTATTTAAATACATATACATATGTCAAATAATATATCATTAAAAAGATACATATAATTTTATTTTATTTTCAATTATTAATATGATAAAATAATTTATATGACTATATATATATATATAATATTTAATAAAATATTATTTTTTAGAAGAAAATATTTTTTGTTAGGAAAATGAAGTTAAAATGAAACAAATTTTAAATTTTAAATAATTTTAAATTTTATTTTTACTTTTTAAATGAAACTAATTAAGTATACTTCCTCTATTAAAAAATGTAAGACATTTTTTACCAAATCTCACTCCCAATAAAATAGTTATCTAGTTTTTAACTAACTTTATTCTTTCATATTTACCTCTATTAATACCCTATAATAAATATAAAGTAATTCATTAATGTGGGCACTTTTTTTAAAAAAAGGCATACATTGATAAAAATGCCTTATATTTTTGAGGTATACTATCTCCATTCAAAAATAAAGACATTTTTAGTATTTTAAGACGTAATCATTATCTTTTTTTTAAAAAAAGTGTCTCTATTAAATAAATTACTTTATATTTATTTATTTTGGGTGAAACACTCTATTAAATAGAGGTAAGTATGAAAAGATAAGGTTAGTTTGAAAACAAGTAACTATTTTATTGAAGGTGAGATTTAATTAAAAATGCCTTACATTTTTTAATAAAGGGAGTATTATATTAGTTTATGTTAAATATCTTTCACTTTTATCTTCTCCACATTTTTCTCAAAAAGTAATAAATAAATTATTAAATTTTTCTTCTCCCAAGTATGCAATGTATCAAGTAGTTTGTAATGTCATTTGCATCTCATGATATCTGTATAACTTTATCATGTCAATGCCATTTATGTATTTGTATGTATGTGTGTAATTATTTATGTATAGCTAATTAGCTTGATTATAATTGAAATAATCACCTACAAGATTTTAATTATATCATATTAAAATACTAGTAAAATTAATAAGATCAACCTTAAAAAAAGATGGGCTATGTATGTCTAAAATAGAATATGTAAAACACAAAATTAAAAACATAATTTAATAGTTAGACTTAACACATCTTTATTACTATTTATTTTATTTCCCAATCTTATATATCATTTATTTTTCATTCTATATAAAATAGAAAATTTATTTTCCAAAATTTCTTTCAAATGATTTTATTTAATTTTAAATTTTTTAAATAATTCATAAGAATTTTTTTTCTAAAAATAATTTTAAATTGTTTAATATGATTTAAAATTATATTTAATTTTTTTTAAAAAATTTAGTAGCAACAAATAATGTTACCACAAAAATTAATTATATAAATTATTTTTAATTTTTAATTTTTTTGTAAAAGTATTTCTAAAAGTTATTTTTAGTGGCAACTATTAAAAATTGCCACAAAAAGTATACATCTGATGACGATAATTAAAAGTCATCACCAAAAGTGAATTGTTAGAGGCTACTTTTTTGAGTCATTGTTAAAAGTCACCGTCATCTTTTTTTTTTCCTAGTATTGAGAGGAACGAAAAATTATAATAAATGACTCAAAATTTCATACAACAATCCAAAATATTACATAAAAGGGTCAAGAAATTTTTTTGGTAATTTTTAAAATTTTTTCAATCATTTTTACTCAACTAACCGTCAAAATTAACTTTTATTAACGATAGGGGCTAAATTATATTGTTTTTAAAAGTTGAAAAATAATATCCCACTGAAAATAAGTACAGGTTCCAGATGCTCTTGGATCTATTATTTAAAGGCTAATTTACATATGCTATTGGACCTATAATTTAAAGGCCAATTCACATAGCCAATTTGTCCTTTTACTTTTTTTAATACAATTAATTATACATTTAAATCTTCTCCGC